ATTTGAATTTGTAGGATGGAATTAAAACATTTTATATCGCATAATTTCGTTGAAATATTTTCTCAGTCGTTATCAAACAAAAAAAAAATATATATATGTATTATTTTATTTCATTTTATTTATTTATTCTTTTAATTTTAATTATTATATCAAAAATAGTAATGGTTTACCATTAATTTGACTATTATATAATATTTATATTTTATTTTATTAATTTTATTATTATAATATTTTTAATTATAATAAAATAATTTTCGAATTAAAAATACAAACAAAAAAAAAACTGCCAAATATTATTTTCTTACATATTTTGGAAATATTATGCTTTAAAAGATTCATGTATAGTTAAATTAAAGTAAATAATTTTCTAGAAATGCGCGATGTAAACTACGTAAAACTTTTGTTAAAGTAAATTGTATGAAAGGCATTGATTTGTAACAATGTTCTTTGAGTAACGGAAGAAGGGAACAACGACCTATGTAACGAGAAACGAGAACTTTTCAAAGCATCGATATATATATATATATATATATATATATATATACTAAACTTACCTTAACTATTTTCCGAATTAGCCTCGTTATCCAAACTCGTATGTGAGTGGTGTAGAAGTAGGAGGAGGAGGTAGATTTGAGTTCGATATATCGATTGGATTCTTCGATATTTGGCACGTAACCCTAAATGAATATCCGTTCTTCGAGAACTTTGATTAATTTATCCTGCCCCCTCTTTACATTCAATCGTTTCTATTATTAATAATTATTATTATTCTAATAAGAGAAATGGATTATTGAAATAATGAATTGTTCAAATGAAATTTAATCAATTATTTTCTTAATAATACGTGAATTGAACATTCCTTTTTTTTTCTTGAATGAATTTTATGTGAAAAACATTATAATAATAATAATAATTATTATTATTGTTATTATTATTATTATTATTACTTGATAAATTATTCGTAATGTTTTACGCCTAGTTTTTTGTGTTGATTTTTGTTTCAGAAATGTGTTTTAAAGGGTCAGACATTTCGTGTGTATTCGAGAAAATATAATTACGTAGATAATAATAATAATAACAATAATAATAATAATAATAATAATAATAATAATAATAATAATAATAATAATAATAATAATAATAATAATAATTGTATCAACGTCGAGTACAATTGAGAAAGTTTATACAGATAGTATAGTAATACTAAACTCTTTAATGATCTTAAATTGAGTTAATTTATTTAGAATATTTTCATTTAGAAATGAAAAAAAAAAATACTAAACTTTCTACGTCACGTAAATTGCATAAACATAAATTAAATAAATATATTTTTAAATAAATTTATTCAATATAAATGTGTAATGAATATTATTAAAAAATGTTTCAATAATGCATCAGAACGTCATGTGCGTTTTTGCTCAAACAAACGCATGACGTAGTACTGATACGTCTAATGTAAACCAAAGGCTTAATTGTATTCACGTGTAAGTAAGCAAAAAAAAAAATAAAATATGTTTCCTCGTTAATTTTTACAGAGTCCAGGACGTCCGTTTGATATTGGTGGACACAGAATAGAATACGAAGCTAACGACGAAGCAGGTTGGTCCAGCAAATGCGTCTTCACTTTGGTTCTACGAGCTGAGTAAAAAAAAATAACAATAAAAATACAAAAAAAAAAAAATGAAGAAGAAGAAGAAGAAGAAGAAGATAAAGGGTTGTAGGTTCATAGATGTGGGTGGGTGGTGATACCAATGGTCGAGAATAAGATGAACAGGTATCAAACGGAAACCAAAAAAAAAAAAGAAAGAAGAAGAAAAGAAGAGGAAGAAGAAGAAGGGAAGGAGAACAGAAAAACATAAAAAAAAAAGAATAAAAAATAAAAACATAAAAAATAAATAAGAGAAACGCCAAGGAAGGAAGAATAAGCGATAAGGTAATATAAATGGAAATTCCGTTGAATCGCGCAAGCAAACACAAGAAGAAATAACACAGAACACCCTTACCCACCTCCCACCTCCCCCTAACCCCTTCTCCCTCTTTTAACCACGACCATCACGACTATTCCTCTCTAACCTTCTCTCCCTTTTCCCCTTTCGTACATCCACTTCTCCTTTTCCAACTCTTTTCGGGCTTCGTAATGGATTTCGTTTTACGTAGGGGTGGGGTGGGGGGGGGTGGGATGAAGGGATGAAGAGGAGGCGGCAGGAGGTGGCTGGGGTTAAAATGCAACCGAATACACGAAAATATATATCTCGGTTTTTCGCGATAAGAGTCAACTGGCGATATAAATATCATTGCGTTTTATATTGAAAACTTATGCGAGTCCGACGTTTTTTTTTTTTTTTTACTTCCTACCTTTATCTCTCAACCTTTTTCTCCTTTTCTTGTTTTTCTTTCTTCTCTTTCTCTCCCTTTTGGTTTACTTTCTTCTTTGTTTATTCGTTCGATATTTTTTAATTGGTGTATTTTTGAAATTATGATATATAGGTGTTGTGTTTTTTATTTTTTTTTTTTAATTTTTTTATTTGTTTCACACATTCTTCATTCTCAATCTTAGAATTTTATTTTATTTGTTTTATTGATTTTTTTTATTTTTATTTGTTTTACATATTCTTCAKTATCGATCATAGAGAATTTTATTTTATATTATTTTATTTTATTTCTTAATTTAATTTTTTTCACTTGAATTGTGAATTTGATGGAGGGATGCTCTTCTGATTGTTTTTTTCTTTTTTTCTTTCTCTCTTTTTCTCTCTTTGGGTTTTTTTTTCTTCTTCTTCGTTTATTCGTTCGATATTTTTTAATTTGTATATTTTCGAAATTACGATATTGGTTGTTGTTGTTTTTGTTTTTATTTTTATTTTTATTTTTTTTTTTTTTTTTACACATTCTTCATTCTCGATCTTAGAATTTTATTTTATTTATTTTCATTTAATTTTCCGATTCGAATTACGAATTCGATGATGGGAAACTCTCGTGATTTTTATTA